ATGATTGATGAATTATACCATTGTGACGACAGTAAAATTTGAATTGGTTATTTATAAATTTGGTGTCGTTGTCTGTGCGTAAAATACGAATTTTCCGGTTAAATTGGTGGTCAATAAGAGCTTGAAACTCCATGAATTTACTGAAAAGTTCATATTTTTGAGTTAGAGGAAATATCCAAGTGAATTTAGAGAAATTGTTTATAAATGAGATGTAGTAGCGAAATCCCTGAGTAGATACAATCTGAAACGGACCCCAGACGTCCGAGTGAACTAAAAGGAAAGGGGAATTAGTTACAGTAGTAGATTCTGATGTGGGTAATCTATGGCTTTTCATCATTTTACAAGAATTACACATGATCGAAGATGTATGTATGTTGCTGTTGCGTTTACGGATTGCGGCCATGATTTGAGTGGAGGGGTGGCCTAAGCGACGATGCCAGAGGTCTGGGACGTGCTAAACGAAGAGGAGAGTGAGTTGATCTTTTTGTTTGGCCGAGATGTTCTTGATGTTGAGAGGGTAGAGGCCGTTAATAGATGGACCCATGAGAAGACTGCGGTGGGTCTTCTGATCATGTATTTCGTAGCCGTGAGAATGGAAAATGATGATACAATCGTTGTCTTGAGTGAGTTTGTGTACGAAGAGGAGATTGAAGGAAAGCTTGGGGACAAGATTGAGATTCTTGAGTTTGAGGCTACATGTAGGAGTGGGAAGAAGACCTTTACCCGTGGTATGGATTGGTAGTTGGTGGCCGTTTCCAAGAACAACTTGGATGGATCAGATTGTTGCACGTTGGTTGGATCTGAAGTTAAGTGAGTTGACGCTCCGCTGTCGAGGAACCAATCGGAGGGATTGGGTTGGGGCGGTGCGATAAAGAGAGATGGCATGGGTTCGGTGTTGTACTGGTCATCATGGCGATGTCAGCACTTGATGGCCGAGTGTCCGAACTTGCCACAAATTTGGCAATTGATGGATGGACGATTTTGCTTGTTGTTGCAGTTTGAGTTGGATGTGTTCGGTTGGCGAGTGTTTGAGCGACCGCGAGGTTGGAGATTCCGACCGTGACCCCTGCCGCCACCAGCGGTTAGAGCCGTTTGATTTCCCGCTAAGTTGAGGGATTGGAGTTCTTTGGATATTTCGTGAGCAAGGTTTAGCTCTTCACTGCAGAGAAGGGTGCATAGCTCATCGAGACTGGCGGATCTAAGGTTCGTGCGAATTGCTATCTTGAAAGCTTGGTAAGTATTGGGTAGTCCGTTGAGTATATAATGTATGACGTCTTCGTCATCGACGGGTGCTCTAGCGGCAGCTAATGCATTGACCTTCGATTTGACGTCTAAGAGATATTTGGTCATGGATTTATCCTTCATGGATAAGGAATAGTTCGTTCTTGAGGTAAGCGATTCTTCATCGAGTGCAGGATTGGAGTCGGGTGTCAAGGGTGCTCCAGATTTCAGAGCAATGTTCGATAGAAAGAACGTATGGAAGAAGAGTAGAGGAGATGACGGAGTAGAGTGCCGCTGCGAGGTTTTGGTCGATCAGAATCCAGGTGGTGTGAGCTGAGTTCGGTGTTTGGGTTACAGTGCTGGATGTGATGAAGGGAGGCGGTCTGGTGATGCTGCCGGTCAAGAACCCTACGAAGCCATTTGCTCGAAATAGTTTGAGCACTTGGGATCGCTAGAGAGAATGGTTTTCGGCCGTGAGTGTTTGGGCGATGACGTTCTTGATACTGTCATCAAGAACTTGAGGGAGGGGATTTCTGGTGAAGAGAAGCTGCCGTGGTTGTTGGAGAGGTTCTCTTGAAGCGGTGAGGAGGTATTGGTGGAGGCCATGGAGGACGAGGTTGTCATCGAGGTAGGACGGAGGAGTGAACCAGAACTTCTGATACCATGTAGAATAAGAAGAGAGGTGTCTCGGAGAGGGCTAGCAACGCCCAGGAGGAAAACAGAGGATAGGGAAAAGAACAAAGTAATAATCCATTCATTTCATCTATAGATTACAGGAGTATATAAAGACACAATGGGTAAAGAAAGTACAGTCAAGAAAAGTCCATCCTAGGCTAACGGTACAGAGATAAAGCCAATCCTAGCTTGCCAAGTGTACTGTTGGCTAACACTTTCAAACAACCAAACCTCCATCCCTCTCTTGTTCGTCCTCCAGCAATAGCCTGACGTCAACCTTCGTTCTTAGTCGATCGAAGATCAATATCACCGATAGGGCACCTCCACTGTGCCGATCGGTCCAGTACATAGGCCTTATGTGTGTCTCCCTCCAGTGTGCCAGTCGCAGCTCTTGACACTCCACCTAGTCGACCGAACCAACTTCCTCAAACCATATACCTTTGATCCCGTCACCTGCTCAAAACTCTAACCGCCAGACACCACATCACCTTCGACCCATGTTCCAACCCCAGGTGACCGATGCACTTGTTCGTCCCTACTCGTTAATCCCGGTCAAATCCGCCTTCATTGTGCCTATCGAAGACCCCGTTGCCAGTTCTGATCTTCACCTACTCGATTTCCCCCTTCGGTCGAGCGAACCAGCTCACAGCTTTGCCCTGTTCGGACCTCCCAACTCTCTGTTGTGTCCGTTCGTCACTTGCCAGGTAGCCGACTTCATGCAAGCCGACGTGCTCTCAGACCTTTCAGCACGTTCAATTCCATCAGATCTGGTGATCGACTATGATCCACATAGCAGAATCCCTTCTAACTCCTCATTCCCAACTCCTCTCTACCTTCTGCCGATCTTTCCTCACGATCGTACCCGCCTCTTCATTAGCTTCGGGAGACCACCGCTGCACGTGAAGCCTCCGCCCCAGCACCTAGCTAGTCGCACTCTACTTCCTTAATCGAACCCCTATTCTACCCAAATATCCCAACTCCTCTACCAATTCAGTCACTAAACTCAACCGATTTCACCTTATTTCTCTGATTTTATTGTACCTGCAAGCCGGCGTCGAGACAACCAGAGGTAAAATTCCTTTTCTGTACATGTTAAGTTTTTATTAGCATTAATTTATTATTATTATTACTACTACTTATTATTATTAATTCTTAGTATTAATAATAGTATTATCATATTTATTTTTATTATTATTATGTAAAAAAAGGTGAGGGGAAGAGTTATAAAAAAAAGAGAAAATAAAAAAAGAATAAAATAAAAAAAATAAAAAAGAGGAAAATAAAATAACATATTATCGCAGACATTGCTGCCGCTGACCTGATCGCGAACGTATAACCCAAATCCTGTCCTCGACAATTGCAACGCGGTGAGCAACCACCCATGAGCGTTTTTCTTAGCGCGATGGGACGAAACTCGTTGCGGTGCTTACGACGAGGCAGGTAAGCCTTGTGCATGCTTTTCTTAGCATGACAGGGCAAAACTTAAGTACCTGTGTACGTGCTTCAGTGCCTACGGGGAAAAAAACTGTGCATTTTTAAATAGGTACCCTTGAAGACCTATGCACGATTTCTTTGCATGGTGGGATTGAAGACTATGGCCACAGTCTCATTTGACACCGACCGTGCACGTCTTTCTTGACGTGGCGAGAAGGCTAAGACTTCCCCTAATAGGGGATATGTCAGGATGCTGCCGAAATTCAAACTGAAAATGCACAAAAATTGAATGAACAACAGGAGACCTAACTCAAACTGAATGACAGGGAACATGACAATGCAAACATAACAGCAGGGAACTGGACCCTAAGCTTTTAAAATGCACAATTAAATTAAAAATGACAATACTAAATGATAATCTGAATCATTTAAGTACATGAATGAACAAGTAGGGGACTTGTGTTAAACAAAACTCCAAAGAAATGATTGAAAAACAATCGAGGATATGTACTCTAATTGCAAGCAAACACATGAACTTCCTACAGCTGACGCTAATCAAATACACCAACTCTCAACAAGTCTAAGAGATTGGCAGGTGATAAATGCAATGTCCTGTCAACCTAGAGATATCCCAGGAGCTCAAAGCAAATGCACTTTATATGCAATTAAAGTAGCCTGATTGCAAAGAACATGTTACCAAGTACTAGGTATTCTATGGTTATTTGCTATCTGCCACAAAAATTGAAGGATCTAAAAAAAAGAAATTTATGACTTCTTATTGATTATTATATAAATAGCAATTAGGTAGGCATGCCATTAAAAGAAACAAAAAATATATTGGATCAAGATAAGATAAAGCAAAGCTAGTAATGTGTACCCCGAGTGCAACCTATCAACATTAGGAGACCATCGATGTCCATAATGCCAAAATAGTCAAGGCGAATAATAAAGTTATATTTGGAATCTAATGGATTTGGGAGAATGCAGAAAAACTTTCTTTTTTATTAATGCCTCTACTAGTAAACACCAAATGAAACATTTATCACTTAACTTGAAATGCTTAGATTGCATTTTACTAGCGTTCTTTCATTCCTGTGCTTTGCCACTTCGCTTTATCATTCCAATTTTCATCCTGAACAGATACATCTGCTCCTTGATCTGAACACCTTTTTGTTTTGACTCTTCTGAGCTGCTCTTCTTTTTTTTGCAAGAGTTACATCCCTACTTGGTTGGTGCTCTTTTTATTTGGTCTGCTCGTCTTTTGCCATTTCATTGCTGTTGTTGGTGTTGACTTGTAACCTTTCACTCCAAGTTTTGTATGCTCAGGTCGCTCTAAATTTTTAACCTTTGTAATTTTTTTATTTATTTTGCATTTAGTAAAATTGAAGTTTCGCTCTCATTTCTCCAAAAAATGTTATGTTCATTTTATCGTAAAATTGAGCTGTGGCTCTCACTCTCCTAAAAAATTTTAAAAAATAGTTAGGCGTCATTTGGGATAACTTCCTTACTATTTTCTAAAGCAGCTTTTTAGTACAAGATTTTTGAGTTCATAAAATTTTTGTAGTAAAAAATTGTTTTAGGAAGCATTAAGAAAGTTGTCCCAAACGAAGCCTTAGACTGGCATTTTTATGACATCTTTAGTTACCCAAAAAGCACATATTTATCTGCAGGTGGGCTGGATGAACCTATATACAGACCTTACATCGCAAGAGACTGGCGATTTGGGCACTACGAAATGGATGGATTGCAGGATCCAGTAAGCAGATTGTGGAGGTCAATCACAGCACCAATAACAAGAAAGAAGAAGAAAGCAAGCGTACTTGAAGAAGATGATTTGGAGTATCAAGACTGCAATAAACTATCAAACTTCATTACTTGAATGCTAATCGCTTGTATCCCTTCAGCCATGGAGAGTATCTTGTAGCACAGTTTAGCGATCTGGTAGACAAAAAAATTGTCCTTTTTAAGCTTTTTCCTTTTTTACTGCGGTCTTTATGGAATTGGTGAACGTAATTTTATGGCTTAGTTTCCATTATTTGTTGCATTGTATTATATGGTACAGTTTCTCTGTTTAGTAGAAACATTTGGCTTCTGTTAAACTTGGACTGTACAAGACTGGTTGGATCCCTGGAAAAGTCTTTTGTTTGTTTGTGAGTGCGGATGGAGCTGTGACTCTTTGGTTGAAGAAAAAATTTCATCCCAAGCAATTTGGGCTAAAAACTGCCCAAAAAAAAAAAGGTTTGTTGTATCAACTGGATGATGTATCTTTCTTTTACATGAGAAATTATTCTGTGCGGTCACCGGATAACGACCAGAGGCAAATCGAGATGCGTCGTGTCATTTTTTTACTATGTATCGGTGTTGTGTATTACAGCAAGTGTGTTATTTATATTCATTCACTTGGATGATGGCTATCCATAGAGATATAGGCTGATGGATTCTCTTTGTTATTACTATTACATGACTTTTTTTATAGGCCTTTATATGTAGCTAACAATATATTTTAATTCATGGAAAAATAAAAAAAAATGAAATAAAATTACATTTATAATTTTTTCTTCTATATTATAGCTTTTTTGTGTGATTTTAATTTTTTATAAATATATAGATCCTCATTATAAAATAAAGTGTTTAGAGACATTTGATTAGTAAATAAACAAATCATTATGAATGACTGTGCGTACATCTTTTCACTGCCCATAAAAGATCTATTTTTCACAAAATTTTCCAATCATTTTTCAGCAATTATAAATGAGCTCCAACTCCTTCAATCACTTTCTTGCTTTTGAGCAATGATCCTTCAAATATTACTCTTAACACCACTATTGAAGGGGTTAAAGCACTATTTTCTTTCATGATGATTTCACCTTCATTTATTGGTCCTCTTGCTTGTGAAGTCGTCAAATATTTCTTTAGAAGTTCTATGTTAATTGAAGGTGTTAAAGGCACTGCCATTGCTTTAATTCCTATAAACTTTCATGCTAGTGATATAACTAACTTTAACTTTATATCCCTTCATTATAATTTTCTTATAAAGTCATTACCATAATCTTGGCCGATGGACTCATCCTAGTCAATCATGTTTTATAAATAAAAGAATTTCTATAGATAATATCATTCTTGCTCCAGAGCTTTTAGGATAATTTAAGAAGCTAGGAAAAAATCATCTATTTTGTGCCGACCTTGACATATTCAAAGCTTTTGACATTTTATTAAGGTAATTTCTATTTTAATGGATGGAGCAAAAAGATTTTTTAGCTCTTTTCATCTTATGGATCATAACTTCTACATAAGAAGTTCACTATTCTATAAGTATCAATAGATCTTTGGAAGGATTATTCATTCCTTTTCTAGATTGAGGTATAGATGCCCTCTATCCCCATGCCTATTCTGAATCACCATGAACAGCTTATCCCATCTTTTTTAAATGTCAATTGGCAATCATACATATATTAGTATCAATTTGGATGGCTATTGTTTTTCTAACCATTTTTATGTAGATGATCTCTTAATTTTTTGAGATATTTGACTCTATCGATGATGTTTCTCTTCATAATATCCTCAAGAAATTTGGACAACATTCTAGTTAACATGATTTATTTGGCACAAGATATATTTGAAATGTCTCAAATACATGCTATTATATCATATATAGAGAAAAAGAAATTGTAGGAGGTTTGGGATTCTATTGATAACATCACCATTATTTGCCATAAAATTAAAAAAGACAACCTCTTCAAAATCCTAAGATGAAATATTTTCCAATTCATAAGTGACATTTTGTTCATTCCAAGCTTTTGTTTAGATGTGTATCACTTTTCTTTTCTTCTAATTTCAGGTTCAACATAGAAATTTTTTGTAAGCAATTATATGGCTTTAAGGTGTAATCCACCCCTAATTACCTCAAATAAATTTAATAAAAATAATAATCAATCTTTCTTAAATCGACTTCAATACTTATTATTATATTTTGAAAAAAAAAATGAACTTAATTATAATTAATTTTATCGTACAAGAGGCCATGACTAATCTCAGAAGCATTGGCATTTTAATGATCTTTTTAATGATTTTTGGATGTCATTAACTTAAGCTTTAATTATCATTAGCATAATTATAATTAAGACACCAACAAATCAAAAGAGATGTATATTGTATCTTAATAGTATAACGTCGACTTCAGATTTTAGATGAACACTCCGCAGGTTACAGTGAAAGAAACAAACCTCAGCGTACAGTAAAAGTCAGGGAAGGGCTACAGAGGACTTCGAGCTGCAGCAGCTATCAAGATTAACATTTTTTTATTTTTTTCATCAAAAGCTTTGACTATTAATTAAGAGGACCTCAATTCGAAATTTTTGTATGTTATGTGTGTGTGAATTTCACTTTTTGAAGATTGGTTATTGTTGCGTGCTAGAATATACGCGACAGTAGAGTTAGAAAATATTCGTCTTAGCGTTGCACGAGTATTCCGCACACAAATAGAAAAGAGAAATAAACACCAGAGTTTTTACGTGGAAAACCCAAAAAGGTAAAAAAACCACGGGGCCTCGCCCAGTTGTAAAGTTCCACTAGTGTTTGATGAAGTACAAAGGTTGATCCATCTTACAAATCAAGACGATCAGTTTACAATCAATTTCTCACAAAGTTACAAAGTTCTGCAAATTCCTGGCATTTCCCGAAAATTCAGCAGAGTTCCGGCGTCTTTAGGTGGCAGGAAGAGCTCCGGCGGTGGTCGAGGAGGAGCTTCTTCCTTCTCCTCCTTCTTCTTTTCTTCTTTTCTCTCTTCACTTGAGTCCCCTTTGTGTAGAATGAGGGCTCTATTTATAGTTTTTCTGGAGTGGCATAACTCGTAAATAGAGGTGTGAGATCATGGGCGAATAGGGAGTGGTTTTGAATGGACGGCCGATATTGAACCCTTTGATCGTGCACTGTTCGTTGGACATTTGGAGACCTTAATGATGTCGGAATT